TATATATATATATATTATTCCCTGCACCTACTTACGTGAACTGGATTTCGCTTTTCCAGGTTTTTGATCTCTTTGATGAAAAGAAATGGTGTCTTTGAATTTGATGAGTTTGTTCATGCACTCAATGTCTTCCATCCATATGCCCATACAGATGATAAAATTGATTGTAAGTCTTACTGCTATAAGAGGCAAAGCTAAATGTTGTGTGTGTGTCTCTCTTGTTATCTTATGTTGTTTGTTAATTACTTGCAGTTGCATTTAGGCTCTATGATATGAGACAAACCGGGTTCATTGAGCGAGAAGAAGTGAGTCTTGTACTACTTTTTTACTGTCTAAGTCTCCAAGGAAATTTATGTTTTTATGGGTATTTTTACGTTTGATACCTTGTATGAACACGGACACGATATTTAAATTAAGCAGCCTCTATTTGGTTTCAGGTTAAGCAAATAGTGATTGCCATAATGATGGAATCTGACTTGAAATTGTCAGAGATCTTCTTGAGTCTGTCATTGATAATGTAAGCACTACGTAGTTGTGTAAGTTTGGATGTTGTTTTACTAGGTGGTAATCAGAGCTTCTGGAGAATTTAGTACTCACGACATCTTCTATGACGTAGTATTAACAGTGTACTTATATTACATAGTATTAACAGTGTATTTTTTTTTTCTTTCTTGTAGAGGTATTTCCTTTTGCCTTTGCGATTATATGTGGTGAAACTATGGACAATTAGAGGTGGTTCTTGCAAAAGATATTGGATGTCTTGCTGGGTTTTTCTAGGTTTTTTTAAATTTTTTGTATGAAATGGTATTGACAATGTACTTCTATGAAATAGTATTAACAATGTGCTTCTATGACATGGTATTAACAGTATACTTCTATAACATGGTATTAACAGTGTACTTCTATAACATGGTATTAACAGTGTACTTCTATGAAATGGTATTAACAGTGTACTTCTATGAAATGGTATTAACAATGTACTTCTATGACATGGTATTAACACTGTACGGAGGTTCGATGGAGAAGGGTCGTAAGGACAGCTCCTTGATTTTCGCGATATTTTTTTTTAGTTTGGGTTTTTGAAAAAATTTTGGGTTGGGCTTGTTTTGAGTTTTTTTTGAGTTTTTTGTGTTGGGCTTGTTTTAAGTTAATTAATGGTAGATATGTAATTTATAGGAACTTCAACACTCATTTATTATGTAGTAAATAGTTTTTGGGTATGTTTATAAAGTGCATTCCATGTGAGGTTTTTTTATAATTTCAGCCCCTATTTTGGATATATTACTAAAGCTCCCTATTTTTTATTGCTGAATCAGATATTTTTTTAATCATTTTTTGGGTTGTGTTCAATTCTCTCTAGTTAAATTCAATATGCTGTTGTGTTTGGTCACTGATGAAGATTCGTCCCCATAGTATTTTTTTATTGCCAAAGATTCGGCCATAGTTGGTTTTTACTTTATTTTTTCATTAATAATTACTATCGCTTAAAAAAGTTGACTAAATAGTTATCTTGTATTATTATATTTTGAGATAAAAGTAAGATGATAGTTTGCATTCATAATTTAGATATAGAAGTCGTCAACCACATGCCCAAATACGAATTGCATTATTCTATTTGGGTTTACAAATCCAGAGTATCTGGACCTCGTGTCAGCTCTTTGATCCGGTAGTGAAATTTTAGCTTTAGCTTTTCAAGTTTCAACTAAATTTAAGCATTCAAGATGCAAAACTAGGAAGAAATCTAGGGGCATTATTACTTAACTTTAAAAGCCAGAGCATCATTGAAAAGCTAAAGCCAGTCCTACTGTGACCTGCATAGTGCAGCTAATGAGGTGTCGATAAAAAAAAGGAGATATCAAGGGCAAGAGCTTTGAGTTGAGTGCATGGTCATCATGGCCCTTTTTTCTTCATGGCTGAGGTGGGAGAGAAATTCTCATGCAATGGAGATAGTACTTTTTGTTATTATCGGCCATAACATAATGACACGTGAAATAATTTTTCCACGTGTCATGATGTTATTGGCCGAAAATAGTAAAACAGTGATATCCTATTACATGTAAGTTATTTTCTTGGGGTGGAGAGGCCCTTGAGATCTTATCTGCATCTCATATGATCTCCAAAAATAATATAATATATTATAATAGAAGGGGTCAAAAGATTGAATAGCCTCAAGCTATTGTTAAATAAGATTGACAATGACTATAACAAAATTTAACCAAACATAAGCAACAAAGGCAACCTCTCATGTATAACCAGTCCCTCGTTGTTCTTGCTTTGGCTTGCCAAGATCCCCAACGAAGGTATTGGTCAGAGCAGACTGTTCGGTTCATTTTTACACATGATTTTTCATGTTATTCACCCACTATTTTGAGTTAGTTCTTGACATTTTATAGCTTTTTACTTCCTTTTTGTGTTTTCTTAGATTTTACCTTGGTTGGGATGAAAATGAGCTAAAAGTGCATTATTAGTTATAAATTCTGTTTTTGTTCATTTCGTAGGTCAACTTCTTGGCCTGGGATCAACATGCTCTGGTGCTCGGATGAGGTCATGATCTTCATGAGACTTGTTCCAATGGATGTTAACTACAACATATCCAAATTTGAGCTCCATTGGACAAGAAAAGTAAAGCTGGAAAGGAGGAGAGAGGGAAGCAAAAGGAAGTGCAATCTGATATTGGAGAGGCTCTTGAACGTGGGAAATGAAGTCATTCCATGATTCTACACATTGAGAGCAGATTTTGGAGAGTTTGGAGCTAGGAGAAAGCCAAGGTGCAGCCAAGAAAAGTGGAGAAGAAAGCTTCCACCATTGATGAGCTTGAAGCTTTCACCATTTTCTATCTATCAAGCTTAATTCGCATACTTGCTTTGCATCCACATTTCACCGTAGAACAATTTTTACCCGTTCTCTTCATATTCTCAATCTCACTTAAGTTTCTCTCATCATTCTCTTCTGAAGCCTTCTGTGATGTATTTTTGGGCACGTATTTTCCTTCATGTGCACAAACAAATTGTCTACTCGTTACCTCATCTAAACGCCTTCTTGTCTTGGAGGAAGATCGAGTTCTAATCCAGAATCCTTCTTGCCGGCCATACTCTTCATAATAGTTTCTTGCTTCTTCCATTGTGTTAAATACCATCCCTGCATATGGTGCTTTTAATTGTGTCACTTTCTTTTTTGGAGTACTTGTTTCACCATTCTCCACTTGAATTATCTCCTCTACCTATTGAACATATCGATCATTCTTAACGATGCAACTTAATAAGATATATATGAAAATAAAGAATATGATTCTCTCTGTATCAGAATATTAACGCAAGATGAAATATAATGGAATAAAATTTCATACTGATTTTAAAAAATAATTCTTACGTTAAAAGATTATTGTTTGTCAATCATATAACACCATATTTATAAAACAAAAAAAAAAATTCAGCAATCCTAATTGTCTACAGGAAGAGCTACAACAAAGATAAACAAAAAGAAAAAAGAATAAAAATCTTAGATGAAGGTAACATACCAAAGATACGCACTGAGAGTTGGAGGAAATGTCTTGTGTGTGCTCCAACATTTTGATGAGGCAATATTGTATTAAGATATGAGAAATTGCTTTGACATAAAAAAACTATACTGAAGATGAATTCATGGTTGCGTATATGCTGTGCGCTGTGCATGAAGAAGGATAAATTGAAAAGAGTCCTTATTAGACTTTAATAAATATTTGAGATTAAAGAGGAGAGAGAGAGAGAGAGAGAGGCGTGCGAATGTGGGATTGTATTTGGGCATTTAGTTTTTGGTGATCAGATTCTTTATTTATTAGACCCTAATATAAATATTTGAGATTAAAAAGGCAAGAGATATCACGTCTTCCAGCAAAAAGGTTGGAGAGAGAAAGATTTTCTTTTATTTTTAAGAGAGAGAAAATAAAATGAATGATTGTCTATTTAAAAAAATTAAAACTACTTGCCATGTAATATTTAATCTCAACCATTGAAAGTGGAGTAATCTAACGGCCCAAAAATTGTGTCAAAACTTGTGTAAAAAATATAGTGCCACGGATCCGCCCCCTATATATATATATATGCAGCCAAGCAGAAGTGAAATTAACACAATATAGTGGAGATGAAAAATCACTCATTCAACTATGAAGCTAAAAAGGACTTCTGTGTTACAGACAAATAATAGGAAAATCTCAGAGGGGACATGAAACATTCTAGTAGACAAAATTTTCAGCAGCAATTTGGGAACATGCAAATTCAAAACCAATGATTCATTTGCTACTGTCAATTGTCAAAGAACCGAGGATTCGTTTTCTGCATTTAACCAAAAAATTATAAATAATAACTCACCTCGTTCTTGCCCACATGCACAATTTGATCCTCAATGTCAGTGACATGCACATTCAAGTCTGTAAGAACTTGCAGCTCAAAGATCCGAGACATCGGTCTTACAACCAGATTGTCAGTTACTACAAACATCGAAGGTCTCTTCAGAAATCCTTGAGCATTTAAATCCATGGAACAGAAACCGAAGAGCAAATTATTCATGGAACAGAAACCCAAGAGGTAGAGTTAGGAAACTGAAGAGCAAATTAACAAAATCCTCCCCCGCTTCTGCGTAACAGACCATCTTCTTAGATTTGCTGACCACAAGATTCAAAGAAATCTTATCTTCTTCATCATTCATTGAGTCTCTGGACATTTGCGATTCAGTATGTATTGCTTGATTAAGAACTGTACTCCTCGATTTAAGATCTTGTTGAGGCTTCAACAGGGTTTCAGTCAAAGCTGTTTTTGACACTAAGGAGCACATGAGCAAATTCAAAATCTGGAAAAGATAAACAGATCAGAAACAACGACTACTGAGTTTTAAACAAAACTAATAAGGCTCTATAGCCATCAATTACCTCAACAGTTCCAATGTTGATGGTCAACTCCTCAGTAGCATCCACATCCATGAGACCAAGCTTAGTAAATACAGAATTGGCTGATGAATTTGGGGGGATCACTTGTAAATCATCAGTAACTGTAAAGCTGGTTTGTCCTTTCACAAAGACACTTCCGTCTTCTGAAGCGCGCAACGAAAGACTCTTCTCCATATTCATGATTAATAAACACGAAGGACAGTAGGTACAGTAATAACTTAAGACCTTACATAAATTGGGGCACATAAAGTAGCGTCTTGGCTCAGTATCATCAAGTTTCAAATTGAGGTCATTGCAATGAGAATCGGCTGCGTTGCGGGGATGCAGTAACATGTCCTTACATATGTCAATCCAAAATTTTTGTTCATCAATATTCTCGACACTTGCATACAAGTTGTTCATGCAACCTATTACCACAGGATCTGAATGTTTACGTGCAAGCCTGATAATTGTTCCCATGGGGATTGTAATGAAACTGAAGAGAACATCAAGAAAATCATTCTCAGGCTCTATGAAGATAACTTTGTTACTCCTCCTGTCCACTAAGACCTTCAACTCAATATTGTTGGTAGATTTATCGGCCATGGACTGTAACCAAAAATTTAGAAAATGACATAAACTAAACAGTAGTTGAGGAAAAATGATCCAGATTCACACTATAATCAACTCTACTAGATGTGTAAATATAAATCAGTCTCAACATTGCAAATAAATTTTAAGAAAGCAGAGGTAATCTAAATAATCAGGCACAATTACCAATCAAGGTAGTTCACTAACCTCTGAAATTTGGAAATTGTTTTTGCTGATATAATAGACTACGACTTACTTTCCCAAGAGCCAAGGACTTGTTATTTCTGGGCTGTTAAAAGAAAACAGAGAGCATTGCTTATTGATTAGTTGACATACTGATATCAAGCAGATTACTCATTTCAGTCCAAACTGCTCAAAATTAATGGGAAAAGAAAATCAAACCTTTTTTGGGCAGAACTGCCGAGCCGAAGTAATGGATGAAGGTAACGAAAACACAAAGACTTAAAAGAAAGAGCCAACTAAAAGTTAAAAGTTTCTGTAGTAGAACTTGTAGAAGAAGACAGTGAGTCTGGAGAGATAGTAAAGTCAGTGAGGGTGTGCAGAGGTGCATCCACTTACCGCTCATTTGATAACTATTTCAATTTTCATTTTTAGTTTTCATTTTTTTGTCCTAAAAGTATAGAGGAAAATGAGATTGAGAATATGAGTGAGGATGAGATTGAGAGAGATGATGAGAAGGGAGGATGAGAGGGACGAGTAACAAAAGTGAAAACAAAAACTTAAACAATTTCAAATAGATTTTAGTTTTTTAGTTTTAGTTTTCATTTTTGTTACTCATTCCTCCCATCCTCCTCTCTCATCTTACTCACAATCCAATTTTCATTCTCATTCTCATTTTCATTTCCCATCTATTTCCTCCATACTCTAGCTTTCCAAAAGAGAAGCACTCTCATTACTTTTTATTTGTCGGTAAAAGCACTCTCATTACTTAACTAGGAACAATTTATATGGCCCTACAGTAAAAGACTTACATAACACTATTTTGCATATTGACATTGACTCATCAAATACTGCATGTTGCTTCTTTTATATCAGATCAAATACAGCAAATTTAGTCATAGCTTATTGGGTTTTGTAATATTTTTTCCTTAACGACCATAGTTGACAACTCAACCATAGAGATCTAACAATAGTACAGGTTACAGCTCAAAATGGCAAACCATGCCAAAAGCCCAGAAATAATAAAGGACACCAGAGAAGAACCTGCTAAAATATGAATATGGTTTTGAATATGTTAGGTTCTTCGTTTTATTCTTCTCTATAAGGAGGTATATGTAAGAGTTTACATGAGTGCTTTACAAGGAATTAGATCCAGTAAAGGATTAGGAAAGTATCTCCTAATTATACAATGATTTGACAACTATATAAAATAGGAAAGTAAATCCCTTAATTAATCAAGGAAATAAATCTCCTTGATTAATTAGGAGACTCACTTCAACACTCCTCCTCAAGTTGGTGCATATACGTCAAATGCCCAACTTGGGGATACATAATTGTTGATGGGATATTTCCCCTTTGCATTAAGATCTGCTTCGTAGTGAACTGGAGGTTTACCACGATTCTTTCTTTTTTGTGGAATCTGATAAGCAAGCTCTGTGCCTTCTGAATGACGTCCTCAGCAGGTGACTGGTGTGGTACTGGAGCTGAAGCGGGCAAAATCTCATAAGACGGTTCAATTTCCTCCTCCTGATTTTGACAGCGTGGAGAGAACTGATCG